TGTGAGAGGTAATCTATTTGTTTCATTTTAACTTATTGCACTAGTTCAGTAGTGCAGTAATAAAGAACAGGCCTAGAGACAGGCGTCTGTTCTTTTTAGGGCCAGTTTTGCTAAAAAGAACAGACCCAAGCGCTGAACTGGTGCGCGCAGTTCAGCCGAAAAAAGAACGGACGCAGAAACCGCGTATTCGCGGCTTGCGCGCGCGTGTCATGTGACCGCGTATCGTACGATTGTTTTGACCAGAGAGAAGCCCGATCCGTATGTCGTGAGAGTTAAAAAGTAATTACGGTTTTTCATACGAAGACATTATTTACATAATTGCATGGTACACAAGCGGCTAACCTATGACGTCAACCTTTCAGAGAAATTATCCAAAAGTTTGTTTAGTTACGAGCTGTAGAAAAGTTAAATAATTTCACATCCTACATGTGCATTGTTGCATATAGAGAAAAAAAGAGAAAGATAAGGAATGTTTGTCGAATTTGTCGTATCAAAGAGAGGAACGCGATGATATTTTGTACGTACTTCGAGTCGAAGCTACGCGTATCGCAGGTCTCTAATAGCAACGTATCTTTTTCATGTTCCCGCAGCTGAGCACACGAGCTAATCGACCTCGTTGTTGGCGGCCTAATCCTTTTATCTCGAGCCCGCGGACGACGGGTTCGCCGAATCGAGCGTCGCGAATCGCCGCGCTCGCCCACCGATCGCCATTTTGGCGGCCGTCGGCAGCGACGTGGACACGAACGATTGATAAACTGCTGATAGATAATGCCTCGGATACGGCCGCAGATAAGAGCCGTATTTATAAAGCTACGGTGACTCCGGGGGTCAGCTTCTCGTCGCGCGATCGCCGAGCATGCTGCGAAACAACAGGGGCGCGCTCAAGCAGTTCTGCAACTGCAAGATCCTGCGCGACGGCAGGATCCAGGCGGAGGACCTGTGGGTGCGAGACGGCAGGATCGTGAATCCGGAGAAGGTCTTCTACGACGAGAAGATCAAGCCAGATGTTAGGGTGGACTGCGGCGGCGCTCTGATCTCGCCGGGGTACATAGACGTGCAGATCAACGGTACTTAATCACTTAGGCCCGGTCTACAATGAGTCGTTAGTCGTTAGTCAGAATTCGCAACTATATGTTGATCCTTTTCCTTTCTGGGTGGAAGAAAAAGGACCGACATATAGTTCCGACTTCTGACTAACGACTAACAACTCATTGTAGACCGGGCCTTAACGACGCGCACGTCTCGCGTGAACAGCGGTTGAAAAAGCCTCGGAATGTAGATTGTAAAGCCACAGAGGGAATTGTGTGGAGAAAAGTCCCCTATTGTGAGACGAGTCCCCAATATAAGATAGAGGGGCTTCTGTTAAGTTAGCAGGCGTCGTCTATTGGCTCCACCGTAAATTTATTGCTCCCGAAGTCTGTTTTAGTGGGCAAGTTTATTGTTGGATCGCGTGACCGTCGCGAAAAGGGATTCGCGATTGAATTTGGACGTCGAGAATCTGCTGTCTCATAATAGGGAAGTTTCCTCTGGATACAAAAGTATCTTGTCGAGCGCAAAAGAGCTTGCGAATCGTTGGAGCTGCTGGTCTTCCAGTATCTAATAGGAATCTTACAATCGTATGCTTTTGCAAGTGGGTGATTTTATGTCTGCGTTTACTTCTCAGGAGGATTTGGCATAGACTTCTCGTGCAATGTCGACGACGTGGAGGGTGGCGTCGCCAAAGTGGCCAAGGGATTGCTGGAGCACGGTGTGACGTCCTTTTGCCCTACGCTGGTTACGTCGCCCACTGAGATTTATCACAAAATCTTACCGAGGATAAAGAAGCGAGATGGAGGCAGCCACGGCGCTGGTGTACTGGGCGTCCACGTGGAGGGGCCGTTCATTAGTCCAGACAAGAAAGGTGCCCATCCGGAACATTGTATCAGAAAGTTTGATCAGGTAACACAGTTGTCTGCCGTGAGGAAATTTATGAGATACATCGCCTGACTTGGGCCCAGTTTCACAAACGTCGGTTAACTGTTAACCAGAGTTCGGTCGACTTCCTATCTCTCTCTATCTTGTTATCCAAGAAGAGACAGAGGATCAATTAACCATGGGTTAGCGGTTAAACGACGTTTGTGAAACTGGCCCTTAATAGGGATTTTCCAATAGGGGTTTAAGTCGGTCACTGATATGTACGGTGATCTGGACAATGTGTGTATGTTGACATTGGCGCCTGAGATTCCAAATGCCACGTCCATTATCGAAGAGTTGTGCAGAAGAAATATCAAAGTGTCTCTTGGTAAGTTGAAGTTTTTGTCCGGGTCTGCGGTAGGTGTAAGCCTTCTGCTCCGAGTCGCGACACTAATTCGCTCGAAGATCTAAACTTTACAGCTGGAATCTGGTCAGCTCGCTTAAAACTTGGGGCCCGGTTTCACCAAACGTCGTTTAGCTTTAATCTTAGTTTAATTTACGTTTGTCTGTTCCTGAAGTAACAGAAAGAGGCGAAGGATGAATTAAGCCAAGCTTAAAGTTAGGCGACGTTGGTGGAACCAGACCTTAGGGATTACAGCTTGAAGCAGAGCTGGAAATGTTTTTACAGAAAGAAAGCGTCGCAGTTTAGAGTTTGGAGCAAATGATTACAGGCTTACATTTATCGTAGGCTTAATCTCTCGGTAATAACTTACAGTGCTATAGTTAAATGTAATTTTGGTAATTTGATCGTTTCTTACTTTGGAATAGCAGTAGTTTAATTTTTATAATTTGCGTGTATTGGGTCTGGCAGATTAAAAGATTTCGCTTTAACTCAATTTGTATGACGTATTTCAGGACATTCCGTAGCAAATTTAAACGAAGGAGAAAAGGCGGTTAGACATGGAGCGTCATTTATCACTCATCTATTCAATGCCATGTTGCCCGTGAGTTGTAAAATACTAACGATTCATAATCGGTTTATATTTCCAAAGAAATCTTCTATGTATAGCATTTCTTCAATTGTAGTTCCATCATAGAGATCCAGGATTGGTTGGTCTCTTAACGTCCGACCAAATTCCACCTGGAAGAATCGTTCACTTTGGCATAATCTCCGACGGGATTCATACTCATCCCGCGGCATTGCGGATCGCTCATAGAACGCATCCCGAGGGTTCGTAGTTTTATGTTTCTATATTTACATCGCGACATGTTCTCGCAGTTTTTAATAAAATAGACATGTAAATGCTTATACAGGCCTCGTGCTTGTAACTGATGCAATATCAGCGTTGGGCCTGAAGGAGGGAGTCTATCAACTGGGGCAGTTTAAGATAGAGATACGTAAGGGATGTGCGTATATCGCTGAAACAAACACTCTGTGCGGTAGCATAGCCGAGCTTTCCAAATGCGTGAGACATTTTAAAGAAGCGACAGGTAAATTACATTGAAAAAAAAGTATATTACCATAACGACGTAATCGTAAAATATTTCATTGATTTAATTTGTTGATTGTATCATGTATACTTGTATTTAATGCGTGTTTGCATTGTATCTCTTATTCAGTGTATAATAATCAGCGATGTAATTGCAGGTTGCACGGCAGTCGAGGCTTTAGAGGCGGCGACTTTACATCCCGCGAGAACCCTCGGTATCGATTCTTACAAGGGCGTTCTGAATTTCGGGGCCGACGCTGATTTTATACTACTTGATGAGAAACTCGAATTGTTGTCGACATGGATCTCGGGAGAGTGTGTTTACGAGAAGAATATTGGCAGTGTAAAACAATTTGATGTATAAATGTAAGTAGTATGAATTCAAATCATAATAATTGTGCAAAGCAACAAAGGATACTGGCAACTTGTAACTGGGCGCTACATGATGTGACAGCGACAGGCTTGTAAGACAATACTGCTATAACAAAAAGCCTTAAACTTTTTTCCAGAGAGTAGTTTTTGTACGTTGCACTTAGATTTTTGTAAATTTGTACCTATAGTGTTTTTAGTTGAATAAATACTTGTTATTTTATATAAAATAGATATACAATTGTTATGTGTATATATAAAATTTAGAAATGATCGGATTTCCCTTGATTTTTCAACAAATAGTAATTTATACATAAAATATGTATTTGCAAAACTCGCCTATACTGTACCATACATGTGCAAAAATATTTTACTACATAATAAATACTGTATTTTTATGTACCTACTCTTTTTTTTTACTGAAATGTATAATATGTATATGTAACAATAAATACATGCGCTCTTTTTGTTAAAAAATTTTCATGTTCGTTCTGTAATTTCTATTGGGTGATGTAATAATATGTTATTTAATATTGCATTACAAAATTTCCAAGTAAAATTTAGTAATAGTTTTACAAGAAACAAATTTTAATATAAAATTATATAAGATTATTGCAATACAGTTGTGCATTAAATGATAGATTTTTAAGTCAGATTTGTACTTACAAAGTATCCAAATGTATGTATTGTATTATATTGCACACGAAGTGTCTCTTTATATTAGTTAAAATGCAAAGAATTAAATGTCACGCAAGTGTTAGGTTTTCTATATAATATCAAAATTTTGAATGCTACACACACTGCTGTTTTACCTTCGATCTTTTTGTTTACTGAACTTTAACATATTTAAATTCTCTTGTTTTATAGCACAATAATTCTGTCTAAGCACAAGACATTTCTTTATTCCGCCAATGTTTCTTTTTCTAACTAGTAGTAATAATTAATAAAGCGAAAGAAAGAAAAGGAAAACATAAAACTTGTCCGTTTCTAAGATTCGTTAATTGCTCGTGTCAGATAATGGAAAGGAACGAGTCTTGGTCGATAAATCGCTAGTTGCCACTAATTGATGAATTAATAAACTGCGTCCTTCAAATTACAAATGTACGGCGAATGCCTGATGCCAAATGTATGCGCGGGAGGAATGTCCAGAAGCACCTGAAATACAGTAGTGATTACATTATCATCGTATCACATCATGTATCATTGAATATGGTTACGTTGTACCTTCGAATTCTAACAACGTGTTACTAGAACTATATGTATATCACGTATGTTTTATAATTTACATATATTTTCGACTTTTTTACACATGTTGGATTTGAAAAATTTTCAGTTGATTTTATTTACCTTCTCCGGGCAGTGTGCTCCTGGCCCTGGGATCTGCGAGTGATCGTCAGGTAGCGGAAAACGCGCGCTCATGCTGTACGCTGGGCTCTTCGCTCTGACCGTGTCCGGTTTGATGGCCTCGTATGCACCTGGCCCGGGTACGAGGACACGATCGTCCGTGAAGATCTTTTGCCTACCGGATATCGAGTAGGCGGGTGCCGCTTTCTTGTTACCCTCCTTAGTTCCGCCGAGGGCGGAGGGGATGTTATAGATATTGGGCGCTGAAATTTTATCGATCTATTTTCTCAGAATTTATAACGTATTGTTTTTCATTACGTTACTTCACGCGCAATCGCATCCACCATTTACGTCGTATAATCTTTCGTTTTTTCTTTGTAATACAATTTTTACGATATCTCCATGGAAAATCACATCTCTGACAAAAGTTCGCATCTCGTTGAGTATTTTACGGGGCGCGAGATGTGCAAGTTAACAGAATGATTAAATGCAGCCAATTACCGCGTGAAAAACTAAGTGTTGCGATTTGTATTCCATGCGTGTCAATGTATGAGAATAGAATTGCTGCTACGCAACATGCATTGCAACATGCAGTATCATATTTACCGTAGATCGAACCGATTATTTACCTGGAATGTCGTCTGGTCTGCTCGCAGCTGATCTGAGGCCGAAAGTAAATTGCAACGCTTTCTCCAACAAAAGCATTGCCTTTTCTGGACTGTACTCGCCAGGGCCTAGAATATTAATCGCATGATAAATTATAAAATAAATTGTACATTGATAAGTGGTGAGAACCGTCAAGTTAGAATATTTATGCAAAGAAATAATTATTATTCGCAGTAATAACGAAAGAACCCACCTGGTACGCTGTTCTTCCCGTGCATCTCGGTTTTAACGCCGAAACTATATTGCAGCGACTTAGACATGTTAATTTTCTCGGGGCTGTATGCACCGGGAGCTGCAAAATGAATTGTGAAATGCTTTAATATATTCTCGAAGAGTAATTTATTCTGGTTATCACACTTAGCCCGTGCACAAAACTACACCGTACTAGTACTACGACATATATCTAACAATGAGAAAAAAAAAGTACGACACATAATGTTCACACATTTATTACGTTTATACACACATATTTGTATCACATGTTTATTACGACAGTTCCGCGTAAAATCGGTCGAATTAAAATGTTAAGAAGTCGAAGCACAGCGACAGAATTCCACCTTTCGGCGTCTGTCTCGTTTTTTTTTTACTCTTTCACGTCAGGCATTATTGACCTTAATAGTATTACGTACGTATTATTGTTTCATCCGCAGGTGGTTAGTGGGAAAAGATCGAAGAAGCATTTTAATATGACTACAACATGCCTACTTTAGATTCGCACAGCATTCGTATGTAAGATTTCACGACAAATCCCAGCCAGAAGAAATACATTTCGTTAATTTTCACCAATTACCTGGTGTGTCGCTAGTCTTATATAAGGGCATTCTATTACCGAAACTAAAATAAGGTTTATGTTCCAGATGTCGAGCTCTTTCTGGATTGTATCTATCTGGGCCTACCAAAGCAATATCAGAAATTAATATCTCTCGCGTACCAATTATTACGTACTCATTTATATATTATTATTAGACACGCGGTCCATTAGTTCTCTGTGTTAACTCACACCATTACCTGGTGTATCGCGGCTCTCGTGCAAGGGTTTTCTATTACCGAAACTGAAATATGGTTTATGTTCCAGACTTAGAGCTTTCTCTGGTGTGTAATCGGCTGGGCCTACCGAAAGCAATCAGAAAAATCATATATCATTTTATTATCCTCCATGCCGCTTACGCGCATTAAAGCCCATTTAGAGAACGAAAGATGCAATGTTAATCCACACCGGGTTAATCCACACCGTTACCTGGTGTATCTCTAGGTTTATCCAAAGGTTTCCTATCACCAAAACTGTAATAAGGTTTATGCTCCAGATTTAGAGCTTTCTCTGGTTTGTAATCAGCGGGGCCTATAGGCGAGGCAATCATAAATTAATGTCGTCTCTTATTATTCATTCAATTTTTTTTCTTCGCATGTTAATAGTTTGTCGAAGAAATGTGCATCTCGCTTATCGAGGCGACATGGCATTCACCTGGATTCTCGTTTAATTTTTCCGGCGCCCCTTTCCCGGCCAGGCTGTACTGCGGCCCCTTGTCCAAGTTCACCTTCTCGGGGCTGTACGTGCCAGGTGCTAGGACAAAGTAAACGCCAACGATGAGGAATATCGTAATTGCATTTCAAGAAAGCGTCTGAAACGTACCGGGAACATCGTTAGCCCGCGGAACGTATCCTTTGCCAGCCAAACTGTACTGCGGTCCCTTGTCCAAATTGACTTTTTCTGGGCTGTAGGTGCCAGGCGCTGCATAAAGGTACCATAGTAAAATATACGAATATAGTAGATAAATAATAAATTAATTACCTGGCGTGTTGCTGGGTCTGTCTAAAGGAGTTCTAAGTCCAAAACTGTATTTCGGAGTAACGTCCAACTTGATCTTCTCCGGCGAATACGCGCCAGGTGCTAAGCATTTTAATATTATAATAAATATATTAGTATATTGAAAACTATGTTTCACGAGCAGTTTTACGTACCTGGTGTATCGATAGGTTTCTCCGCAGGCCCTTTACCAGTTAAACTGTACTGCGGTCCTTTATCCAAATTCACTTTCTCCGGACTGTAAGTTCCAGGTGCTGCGAAAGAACAGTAAACGCACGCGATAAAAGAATCCGTTCTCTTCCACACAGGGTAGTATCTAATTACCTGGCGTGTCACTGGGCTTACTCGAAGCATGCCTAATTCCGAAACTGTACTGTGGCGTGTTATCCAGTCTCACTTTTTCCGGCGAATACGCTCCGGGCGCTGAAAACCATGTCACGCTATTACAGCTGCGTACAATTTATTTCGGACTTTTTGCAACTTCGGTATACCTGGCGTATCCGCAGGCTTTTCAGCGTATCCCTTGCCGCTCAAACTGTACTGCGGCCCTTTGTCCAAGTTCACTTTCTCTGGACTGTAAGCACCCGGTGCTGCGGGATAGAAATATAAATATCCGTGATTTTTGTAACAAAATACCGGTTGTAAAATAATTGCACGTATGTAGAGGAAAGTCCCGTATTATGAGATGGGCTTCTAATATGAGACAGCAGATTTTTAGTTTCAATCTTTGTCGCAATGATTGTACGGTCTAAACGCATTCTTCGCTAAACAGACTTTACTCGAGGGGCAACAAATTCACGGCGGAACCAACAGACGATGTCTGTCAATTTAGCAGAAACCCGCTATCTCATAACAGGGGGACGGTCCTCCATATATTACCTGGTGTGTCACTAGATTTATCCGGTGCATGCTTAATGCCGAAACTATATTGCGGCACATTATCTAATCTTACTTTTTCCGGAGAATACGTTCCAGGCGCTGAAAATCGTTTCATCATATTATTACATCTGCAAGCACGGCTTGCTCTGGCAGCCTTTACGCACCTGGCGTGTCCGTGGGCTTCTCGGCAGGCCCTTTGCCAGTCAAACTGTACTGCGGCCCTTTGTGCAAATTCACTTTCTCTGGACTGTACGTCCCAGGCGCTACAAACGTACAATGCACAACGCACACAAATGTATAATGAATATACAATAACGACTATTAATGACGTGCGTTAATTATACCTGGCGTATCGCTGGGTTTCTCCGAAGGGGGTCTAATTCCGAAACTGTACTGCGGCGTAGCGTCCAGTCTAACTTTCTCGGGGCAATATGTTCCGGGCGCTGAAAATCGCATGCTGCTACTTCACGACATTCGTGTCGATTGTCCGTTTTTGAAGTCAATTTATTCAACGACTAATTTTTGTGCCGCAAATTTAAGATTCGTATATACAGTCTATGTCTACAAATGGTAGCTTCGCCATACCTGGAGTATCGGCGAGTTTCTCAGCTGGTCCCCTGCCACTCAAACTGTATTGAGGGCCTTTATTCAAGTTCACCTTTTCGGGACTATACGTACCGGGTGCTAAGAGAAAATCATTTAAGAGACACTTTCTTTTAGAGAAAATCATTTAAGAGACACTTTCTTTTAGAGACACTTTCTCTCTATGATAAGTGACTTATTATACCTGGCGTATCGCTCGGCTTTTCCACAGCGGGCCTTAATCCGAAACTGAACTGCGGCGATAGGTCCAGCTTGACTCTTTCGGGACAATACGCGCCTGGTGCTGTCGAAGAAAAGTCACCGTTGTATTTTGTTCCTTTCTCTTCAGAAAAAAAAGTCATCGATGCTTATATCAGAAACAGATACCTATTCGAATCTGCACGTACCTGGCGTACCGTTGCACTTCTCAGTTCGGCTTTTGCCGGTCAAACTGTATTGCGGGCCCTTCTCCAAATTCACCTTCTCCGGACTGTACGTTCCAGGCGCTACATTGGCAAAGAAGAGGAGACGAATTAATAAAGTAAATAAAAGTGGACGCGTTTATGACGTAACGTACGCGCAAAGAAATTAGAAATAAAATGTCCATTTTGTTTTCTTCAAGACGGGAGAGCATTGCGTATCATCTAATTACTTGTGTTCTCCAATCTCTAATCGTAAAACTATTTCTATTCGAACAAGAAAATGAAATTAACAAGAATCTACGTGCTCACTTGTGTACCTAAAGGCCTGCGCCCGCGATGCTAGAACTTGGTCTAGTTCTGTAAAATGTGCAACCAATCAACTTGCACCTTTTACAGAATAGCTGCAAGTTGACCGACTACACAGTTCTCGAAACTAGAACTTGAACCAAGTTCTAGCATCGTGGACGCAGGCCTCAAGAAAGAGAGAGATTGGGATTCTACTTTAATTTTTCGTCTCTTATATTGTTTCTTCTTGTATTATACCTGGCGTGTCGCTCGGCTTACCGAGCGGCGTTTTAAGTCCGAACGTGAACTGCGGTGTGCTATCCAGCCTCGTCTTTTCGGGACGATAAGTACCTGGAGCTAGACATTTGTCGATGAATTTTCCAAGTTCCATCGTGTATGGCGATTTTCTATTTGCATTACTGTCTCTTAATGGATTAATACACGTGGCGGGAAGACATTAACGGTGTGAGATACGTACGGGGATCCAACATATGTCGCGAGACATGCAACAATACACTTTACGGCGACAAGCGACACTACACTATCCATTGTACACGGTATAATATGCGGCTACGTGTCAGCTTTCAATTTAGCGCGCATTACACATCTCTAAATATCGAATTACGGGAATGTTACTCTATATTTACTTTGTTGACTACGTTACTCGATCTATGTTAATGGCACACAATTACTTTTAGCTAAATTATATTCTAAATGTCACACGTGCACAGTTAAATGCTGTGAATTTTAAGGACACAAACGGAATACTCAGAGGCGTAAGGTGGAATATACCGAGAAAGAAAAATTCTTGCTACCACGATTTCGTAACATCACTTCGAGAAATTTACGGTGCTTAAAAATTTCAATTCATTAGACATTCGTATCGCTAGATTACGTGAATTTTTATGCGTCTATATTTAAAGGAACCACGTTTTTGTACCTAAGCGGCAATTCTTCGGCGATAGCTTTGAATTGATTTTTGATACGACAATCCACAAATGAGGTCCCATAGCTAATCGTCAATTAGTCGTCAATTAGTTGCGACGGCATCGATTTTCCTAAACATTATTTCATCGATGTAACAACATAATATGGTACATTTATCTGTATATATGATTTACGTAATTTGTTACTTGTTAAAAAAATTTTTTTAATATTCCTAGAGCCCTGAAAAATATATCTATTAGGGCCGGTCTCCAACCTCTCGGCAAACTAACTAATAGTTAAATTATATGTCTATCTTTGTTCGATTTAAAGGAAAAACAAAGACGTACATGTGACTTAATTATTATTATAGTTAACGTATCAAGAGGTTGGAACGACCGGCACTTGGTGAAAATAAATGCTGCCCGGGTCGAAATCGAAGTGAGAGAATTATTTCGATTGGGTGAAATCAGATTCGGCGAGTATCGCGATATCAAGCGATTTTAGATAACGCAACTTGAGGTGCATTTTTATTTTGTTATAACACATGTAAATTCCGCTATACGAAATTGCGATCAATATGCTAATTGTAAGTTTCCTGCAGCGTTCTGTTTAGTTACGTATTATCGCATCGAACCTGTGCACTTTTCTCATTAGTTTGCCAAGGATTGCTATTAGCACACGAAATATTCAGATTGCAGCTATTTAATTGACTATATAATTACCGGGCGTATCGCTCGATCTTATCCACACAGCTTTTATGCCGAAAGTGAACGCTGCTGCTCTACACAGTTTCACGATTTCAGTGCGATAATCGCACGGTGCTATGATCGAGATGCAACATTTACATATGTTTCCGTATTATTATTGTAGATTAACATAATATAAGAGTATACGACGTAAGTGGTGCATTTCAATTACTTATCTGCTTGTACAAAAGCTCTCACAGTTACAACGATAAAAAGTATTATCGATAATATTGTGATCAACTGCGCGTAGTTATTTTACAGTCTGATTAATCTCGAGCATGTACGGGATTTATGATAAATTCTAACATTATTGCATTCGAGAACAAGTACACATATTTAATCTACGACAGTTTTGAAACCTTTTCTTTCCGGCGAAGTAAGTACCGTAGACTTTCTATAAATCAACAGTTATTTTATGATATTTACAAACTAGTGTAATAGTCATAATTGATCAGGTCTACCGTGGTAGTCACACGAGTTCTGTCCATAATTAAAAGGTAATCTCTAAAGGAGTTGTAAGTTAGCATAGGGTATTAATTTTCTCCAATAAAAGATAAAAAATAGAGCGAGTATATTCAAAATTAAATCATGATTAATAATGAATCTGCCATAAAATATAAATGTTTTTTTGAAATAAACTAATTCTGCGATAAAAATATTTATAGCAGGGGTTTTTTACTTTACGTCGCACACCATTCCTAAATTTTTATATATATATATATATATAGTTGTAATTGAAATCCGTAGACGAGCATGTATAATCATGTCGCGTAGATTTAGACTTACCAGGTGTACAGCTGACCTTCTCGACTTGTGTTTTAACGCCGAAGGAATATTTCGGCGAGCTATCCAGAATAACCTTTACCGCCTTTTGCGGATTGTAATCGCCTGGTGCTGGTGTAATTTCCGGTTTCGTCGATTTCGTTCGGCCGTACAGCGACAAGGCAGGTGCGGCATCCTTTCCTAGAAAATTGTTTAACACTGTGTTACTGTCTTTATACATTAAACAAACTTATTTAACTTTTAACATTTTTAATAGTCATTTTTGTTGATAATTGATACGCGACATTACATCTTTCATTAGAATCTTTAAGAAACCTTTGAACTTTTTAAGTAAACAAATGTTGGGCAAAAACTAACCGGTGGAAAAAATTTTAAAAATTCATGATAATATTATTTATAAAAGAGTTTATATTTTAAATGAAGGAAAAAATATAAGTTACTGTATGATTTAATAAATTAAAGTGCGTTATTATCCGAAGCAGGTCGAGCCTAAAAAGTTGCACACGTATCGATCGTGCCGGTTCTATTCAAGCACGAAGCGAAGGAATTTCGTGAACATTGGCCATTAAAATGTATCATTCTTATGGAATATCGGCGGTTTGGAGTTTGGTCGATATCTCGGCCGACGGAACTTGCAAGTTCACGGAGCAATCACGCATCCATATGAGGTGCTTCTACCTCGCTTAATGCTTTAATGTTATTATCGTATTTCAATTCATGAAAAAGACAATAGTTATCGCACGTTATTTATTTCCAATAAATGCTCTGGTGAAATACTTTAAATCTATTATAAATATTATGTACTCATCGTTATAATTTTTGTGGAAAAGTTTTTGTTATAATTTTAAACAAATATTCTGTTTGGTATCACATATTTACCTTTTGCGCTAAGCCCGGAGACATTATATTGTCCAGGACCAGGTCCGGCGCTATTGTTTTTCGCTGCATGTCTGAAAAATTTGCAATACATGAGATTACAATAGAATTGTAAAATCGAGCCTAAACTAGAAAATCATAAGACACACTTTAGAGTAGTTTAGAGCTGTGAGACAAAACAATAACGTTTCTTTAATATACTGCAAGATTAAGGCAAGATTTTCACAGTCTTAAAGTATTAAATTTATAAAACAATTTATAAAGTAACACTTTGAAAAGTGACTATTAAATTGAAATTAAATTCAGACCTAAATTATTAATTTTACCTGCTGCCAAAGGAAAATGCCGGTGCCCTTTCTCGTTTGGAATCTGTAACTGTTTTTCCTACAAATATTACAAAGTATTACCGCATGATAGCATCGTATAATTATTATCACATATTACATTACGGTTACATACATATATTATCGCAGAAGAGCTAATAATTGCTGCTTAATTTAAAAAGAATCGCAAAAAATTACAAGGCTAAACATTATTATTATAGTGCGGAAGTAGTTCCGTTAATTATAAACCGCACCGTCGTTGCGTGTAGCTCGTAAGTCATGAATACATAACGATTGAAATGCAACCATGCAGATGATGGTTGTAACGATATGCTAATTAATAAGTTCAACTGCGTCACAAGAGTTTTGCTGACGAATTAATTCTCACGATGAAGTGGAGTTTGCGTTTTATCGCGTTTTTTTTTTTACAAAAAAGTGCTATAAATTATCGTCAAAATTATGCAAAACTTATAAACGTAATTATGAATATAACACAATTTTTTTAAATATTCTATCTTATCAAGCGTTCTCGAAAGATTAATTGATCTGTAATGAATAGCTCCAGTGAATAAATAAAGAATAAAAAGAATTTTTCTATTTATACACATCGAATATAATCATACGAGTAAATTGTATAACGTGTACAAATTATGTAATTGTAAATATTATAGGAAAAAACAAGATAAGACATGATGAATTATTATTTCAAATTAAAGCACAGATTCGTTTTTAGTGTCGATTGTTTATGAATAATGGTATAATTACTATTTCTGTAAAGAGTAGATATTATATAATTTAAATACTTACCTATTAATGGTGGTAAAGTTACGCAGGCCGGTCCCGGGCTGCTGTATTCGGCGGCAATCGGGCCTCGTCTTTTTGTAGGTGTCCAGGGTCTCTGTGTCACTCCGACCATGATGCCTGAGAGTGTGTCCAGCTACTTTTTCTCTGTCAAAATTTACAATATAATCATTCGCCCTATAACGATTGCAATGAAAAGGGGATAGTCTATAAATTTTATGGAAAGATGTAATGGTATTTAGTATAAAAAATAACTGTTCTATAATATAACAATAGCTCAAGCGTCTCCTTTGCGCCCAAAGATCTAGTTTCAACGTGGCTTTGGCTTTTCAAGAAAATCATCTCTGGAGGAACCTGCGCTATACTCAAGATTTTCAATTTTTCGTGCGCATGTAGATATTTTTAACGCGTCCGGAAAGTAAAAGGCATCGGTATTTTTTCACGAACTCCTCGAACGAACGGGATTCTTTCTGGCGCGGACAGCGAAACGCGCGTACACGCGGTGTCCATGAATTATGCAATGAAGGCGACCTCGAAGTCTCGGGGGCACGCACAGAAACGACTCATGGCGAACCATATAAGAGCATGTCCATGATGGGTATTCGCGACGATCGCCCACCGCTCGAGTTCTGGTCCAAAGCGGAGAGTGAGAGCTTCAAAAGTGCCCAAATATATGGCGGCCGATGATGACGGTGACTCATGCTCACTTATCATACAGAGTAGCATGTATACGTGCCAATCATTGACGCGTAAAATGCACCGTACACTCCATTAAACTTCGAAAAGATTCGAGCGATTCATCATTTTTTCTTCAAGTTTTCAGGTAGCTCTCCTCCAAATTTGTCCTCTTTAGGATAATTTTTCATATATCAAAGTAATTTACTTAGATCTAATTTTAGACCTAAGAACTACTTTTTACAAGATCATGTACAAAACTTAACATTTACAAAATTTTACGAAGTAGCATTAAGAAAAGATATTTTGATTCAAAATAACAGTAAATATTTCTTAAAGAAACAGATATCTCTTTTTCCTTTATTTCCAAGACACACACACACACACTCTCTCTCTCTCGCTCCCCAAACAGAACTGATATTTTAGAAATACATATAATTTGCACGCATAATTAGCGGCGTTGTTCATGTTAGATCATATCCGATCATATTAGATCAGATCTTACGCATGACCAATGAAAAAAATTTCAAAGAATACTACGAAGTTAAGTAAAGTGTCGCCCACGATAAAGTGTTTTATGACGACTGATTCCTAATAATCACACAAACACACATCGAATATGGCAGACGTGGTCGAGTTTATTATACCGAATTCCTTACATCATCGAAAGCCAAAGAAGCTAAAATACGAAGAGAAATATTATCTCGGAGGAAAATGCAAAACTGGGGAAGATAATAAAATATATTAATGTCAAAGCTACACCTTCTACACGACTAGCCACCAAGCTTACTCGTCTTACAATTCTTTTTCGTCTTCCTTTTTTTTTTTGTTAATATTTATGACTATATCATTGAGTATTAATCGATAAGATAAAACACACAATACGGTCCTTACGACGTAGAAATATTCATGAGGAATATAAATAACGTTGAGCGATATTATTTGCCTCTTTTCCATCCGCATCATAAGCTATATGTACCTAAATGACATCATGTGGTATGTACTTATGGCAAAAACGCGATTCTGACGACTAAGTATATTCGCGTATATCCATATCGAGATGACACGCGGATACGCGTATGCCGATATACGCGTACACGTGCGTATATGTAGCATTTCATTATCCAAATATGGGAATGAAAGTAGAGTGGCGATCGATACATAAGAGTATGTACAGATGTGTGTCGTGATGTCGCCAAAACTGGAGAGAGAGAGAGAGAGAGAGAGAGAGAGATTGTGAAATATTGGTAAATGCGAATCTTAGAAAGCGAACGATTCCTGCGAAGAAAAATCGTGCCTTTTCCTCGCGTTTTGTTATCACCCGGCAATTTACATACATGATAAATGAGACACGATGGAATTAGCAGATAATAAATCAGACGTGTACAAGAAAATGACTTTTTTAAATTATTACTAAATTGCGATGGGTTATTTTAAATAATGACGAATGGTTGTGAAAAGTACCTAAAAATAAAATCAATAGTAACATAAAATATTCATCTTTACATAATATACACGGTACAAAATCGTGTGTTCAAATGTTAACATTTTCTTCTGTCATCAAGATTTGATGCTTGCTTCAATGTAAAATTAACATAAAACGTGTACGTTATTATTTTCTTTATGTGTTATATTTATGTTAACATAATAACTTTCCGAGTTTTTCTAACACTATTTCATAAGATCAATCAAAACATGTAACGTCGACATTTCTTAAAAATGATTTCAACTATTCTGATTTGTAATTATTCGCACAGTTTACTTATCCTGTCTGTTTTAATGACATCACACTTAAGGTTGAAAGAATATAAACATAAATGTGCAGTATAGCGTTGATAAATTAACATTTTAAATTTGTCAAAATGTCACACACGCGATAAATGTTAGTTTAACTTAAAATTTAGAGTGGACTTTTTGGGACGTGTAAAAAATGTTAACATTAACATTTTATCTTTTACTGTGTATGGGAAACATAAGCGTGGCAAACTGATTATTATTATCTTTAACGCAGTTCTAATATCAATCTAATAAAATTATAACGTTGTCACGTGTTATTACTCGTGGACACTGCGTTAAATTACATTGTATTCGTTGACGATAATGTGAATGTAATAAGCAGCTTCAGAGAGAAAATCTTTAAAATCTCGTTTGTCCATTTTTTTCTTTTATTCTAAGAAAATACTTTATTGGTACGTAATTGATTATTTTAATTATGTTGGGACCAAATAATTATTTTCGAATTTATATAATATACGTTATAATGTAGAAACTAGCAATTCTGCTAACGATAACAGTAATGGCGAATTTCTAACGTGTGATTGGGCTAACTATAGGTTATTCATTGAATACGTTGATCCATAACTGTTATGGATCGTGGATGTGTACTTGTATCCTTGTCATTGATCTTCTCATATAATTTACATTAGCTTATAACAGAGTGTCGATTACTCTGTTAAGTTAACTCACGAGTAATTTTTAACATAAAGTATATTATTAAAATAGGATTCTATTAAATGGGGTATTACTTATTAACAAATAATATAAATTTGGCTATTACTTCGCAAGTTTGCAAAGTGAAAAATTCCTTAAAATATATGTGTATGCTCTTCCATAATTCAGAATCATAAAAATCCATAATCTTAGGCTTTTATAGCCGAACTTATTTGCTACATTGAAATATTTCTGTGGTGTATCCATTCGCGCGTTAATATATGCAAACATATCGGAAACATTAATAATATTCTATTAACAATATTTTAGATGCGGGGATTAACTATTTGTGCCTGTCGTTCACGATTAATTAATTAATCGCTGCAGTTAATGATAACTTCCAATACGTCATTTCAAAGTATTTCATGAGATTGATAATTTTGTTCTCCATGTATCTTTTTATGTCAGCACTATCGATTATACATTAATATTAACTTATTACATACATATTTATTTATTTGTTTTAATAATTGTCCCGAATTTTCACGTGAAATTATAACGTGTTCACGTAATCTTCGGTTATCACAGTAAAAATATTTCACTTTACAAGACAAACTTACTTACACGGTACAAGCGTTCGCAGATAAGACAAGATATAATATCGTCAGCGAGAGGTGAGAACAGCTGACAACGACGATTCTCCTTGTAAGATAATCACGCTGGCTCGATTGTCGCCGGTCGTTCGAAAAACTATCAATAGCCGGTGCCGTAAACACAGACGTACGCCTAAGACGCGTCGACTTACGACTGAGGCATAAACATCAAGGTATCACAGCATGTACCTGTTTCCCGGATTCACGTTCCCCACCTTTTGCGGCTCGTGATTCGATTGGGAGAATCTGAAACGCAAGCGCCTGCGAGTTGCTTTTGCCTCGTGCGCAGAAACTGGAGCACAAATCAGCACGGGTGAAGATTTCAACGCAAGAGCAGAGATAACTCGGAAATTTGCAATCAATTAATTTATTGCTATCTATTGCTATCTAAATATATTGTATTATTAGGTAATTTATTGAATTTACAACAGATGCTAATAAATTATGTTTGACTCAAGTTTTCTGAAATAAAAAATAAAACTTGCAAATTAAAAGGATATTTTTTACAACAATCATGTATATGTATATGTTGTTACAAATTAAAATATATATTAACATTTTGTGTATTAATAAATGTTTGTCGAAAAAATATTTTTAATTCACTTATTTAACTATTTCTTAATTATTTCTAATTCTCTTATGATATCTTGTTAAATAAATCTTTTTCTTTTTTAATACTCTTCAGCTTAATTTAAATCTATCTTTTTAAATCCATTTTTGCAAAATTATGTTTTATTAAATTGACACTAGAAAAGTATTTTTAATGTTTGCTTTTTAGAAAAACGTTTGCTATTTAGTTGAAATAATTAAGGTTATAACGTAATAAATAACAGTATAATAATTGCATGCATATTGAAATAATTAAGCATGTGTAGGTGCAAATGGAATATTCGATTAATTAATTTTCAATTACTTCAATTTATCTTAATTAAATTAAAGCTTGCATAATATAACAAAAATTAAAATTTAGGACTCTGACACGTAGATATGCCTACATTTCTATCAATTTTTTAACAATAACAAGCGATTATTGTTTCAGTATAAAGCATTTTTAATTAAAAAAATCTTAACAGAATATCTCTTTGCCGTCATTTATTATGACAGTCTAGTCAGCAGCTACTTATCAGTAGAAAAAGCACTCAGCAATCAACACGTAGAACAATTTAGCTTAACACACAACTCTCCTGTATAAGTCACTGGTTTTTAAATGTGTTGTCTGCTATGGCGTGAGCTCCTAATTTTAGCTGATTTTTTCTTTTTTATTTTCAGGACTTGACGAGGTTGGCGAAGTCAAGGATAGAGATTGGGCACGTCGGGGTGCGTGGGTTGCGAAATCGCGTATGACCAATATTGGAAACGAGAGAGGATTAATGTTGTTAGGTACATTTAAGTGGCCAAATTTATCATGAACCGTTCCGCAGATAATAAATCCAAAATAAATTCTGGGGAGAAAATCTCTTGAATTTTAGAGAGAAATTCGAGAGGAACTATTTTATGCTTCATAATGAAAATTTGATACCTTGAGAATTTAAAGTCAATGTTTTCCCTTGCTGAGGAAATATTACTTATTCGATCTAATAAAGAATGCATCGACCGTTGCGTCGACAATTTAAAATTAAAATTAATATGAAAAATTTTAATCACTATACTTATAATATTTTTTTTATACAGTATTCTATACATCAGAATTAAATAACTATATAACTGAATGTGAAACTTATAATAAATTACGAGTCCCGTGGATTTTTTACGTCTATAACAAAAACAAACGTTCATCGAAATCGTAAGAAATTCTGATCTTCTCTCATGCGTTTGAATGACGACATCTTTTCTTTTTGCTCCAGGCTTATACTCCGCGAGGCTGAAGGATTTTCATTCGTAAGAGAACCGGTTGAGTATCATACAGCAGCTTGAAAAGAGGCACTGTTGTTAACAGCGCGACAAGGAAGGGAGGGCATTTGATCCTCTTCTCCCTCTCTTTTCTCATCGCCAATGTAACAGAACGGGTGGCTCGACATAGTGACTCGACAGCTAGTAGGATAGACATTAAGTACGAGGAATTCTTAGTCATACGTATTATTAATCCCAAGTGTGTCCATTAATCCGCTACGTGTAACCCAAGGTATAAATGCATGCGACACAGTCGCGAGTGTAAGGTGTCCAGCCGTGAGGAACTCAGTTTCATAAAGAAGATATAAAAATGCTAGAATATTATGAATGTGCGCTTCTTATATATTGAATATTATATCAGCGTGTAATAGTGTGATCGAAAGAAGAAAAAACTTTCCTATAGGTTCGTACTATAAAATTGTCTATGAACAGATTATTATGGAGGATATTTTTTATTTTAATCATTCCAAGATAATATTATTGAAAATTATTAGTAGCGTCGAAGAATGTTCCGGACGGAAATTAAAGAAAATTATATAAAAATATGTGGTATATCGATCAGTCATGGATAACCAATTGTAATCATAGCACTTCCGATTTTTAAATTTAATTATATTAAATTACAAAAACGTAATGTAAATGTAAATATGTAATAAATATGTAAACGTAAATATGGAGAGACCACATTAAAAATACTTTGTAATAATCGAAATATTAGAAAATATTAAAAAATATCTATAGAATTCTGAATAGTCTACCTCTTGATAGAATGAACAATTTGCATTAATTTGAATTGTTTTCTCGCCACTCTTTTTTAATCGCCAATCGAGAAAAGAGTTGTTCTGTCGATAATTTACGTTACGAATTTGAAACGCAGGATTCAATTCTAAACGCAGGAAGCGGACGTCCGGACTTTTATCGTGTATAACACATAATAGAGGCGACCCAAGAGATCAATCCAAGATTCGCGTTTCACTGGACAGGTGATTGGATTTATTGTAAAGCGGCAGGTGAACAAAATGAGAACGTCAGTGGCGACAACCATTGTGCAACTAGCGAAATAACGGTGGAACGCTTAATTGGCACTCCAATAAATTGTGACGGTGAGATCACGATCAGGGTCGCTATATATGAGAGCTCTCGTACCCACGCATAAAACTGGGCGGCTTGCAAATGTAATACACCATGCCAGCGACAACGTTTCTCTGTCTGCCCATTTAGTCTTTTATACACATGTTTCCACCAGAAGATTCTCGCACACTAACGAAGAGCGGAAATTCGAGCAACGAAAGCTAAACGAGCAACTTTTCAGAGCAGTTTGTGTCTGTATTAATGTATAGACAACTTAAAAAAAACGACTTCGATTATTTTATTCATATAAATTTTACGGAAATAATTTTACAACTTGTCTTTACATTTCTTTGTTTGAGTGTCCCTTTTTTTTAAGATATTGGTGAGAACTGACAAAAATTTTAATTTAGTTAAAAAAAATAGTTTGGTTAAAAATATGATTATTTTGCATATTAGATTTTGTCACTGAAATTATATATAAAATATAAATAAGATTTAAATGTTTATGTAAATGTTTATTTAAAAGTATTTGCAGTTGTTAAAATCTCTCTATCTCTCTTTTTCCCTCTATGGATGCATCTTCTTTAAAAAGACAGATTTTAATATTTTATATAATTTCTAAGTTTGCATTCGCTATAATTATTTTCTAAATTTAAACAACAATTCCAAGTTTAAGTCAAACAAATGAGAGCGTCTTTAGGTCCGAGCAAGATGTGGGTAGCTCAATAACTGTAATCTAAAATATGAATTCATATACCATAGAAACCGGCGCGCAGGACAAGGTGGAAAACGGTATAGGAATTCACGTTTTAGATTACAATTATTGGACTACCAACATCTTGCTCGGACCTGAGGGCGCTCTCGTTTGTTCGATTCATATCACAATGGCCCTGTTTAACTCTATTTGTCTAAGTTTGAGATTTTATTTTCAGACAATAAAATGGATCTCGAAGAGGATTCGCTGCAGGAACGCCTGCTAAATGTCTGCGAGTCTACTCCAAGCGGCGCGCAAATACTTTACAAGCTACTGCTGGATGCCTTACGGTCCAAGAACTTCCGTTCTTTTAAAAATACAATAGAACATAACTTGAAGAGGCAGCCGCCTATTCTGAATATCAACCACATCTATCCAAACACGGAGGAAACATGCCTCGATACAGCGAGCAAAAATGGGTTAACGGAGTTCGTGGAGTTTTTATTGCTTCAAGGTGCGAAACCTAACAGAGTGAATGAAGCGCATAATCGCGCTCCTATCCACTTCGCTACCGAAGGCGGACACGTGGACACATTGGCAGTTTTGCTAGCGGAACCAACGATAAATCCAAATCTCGAAGCGGGACGGCAAACTGCCTTGCACATCGCGGTGAGAAAGAATGACCTGACCTGCGCCGGTCTGCTGCTGGAGAAAGGTGCCAGCGCAAGTATTCCGAATAACAAGGGCCTGACGGCCCTCCACTTGGCGGCGATGAAGGGCCAGGGGGATATGGTGGAACTGATACTAGGGAAAAGCCGACAGAGTCCAGATATCGACACCTACAAAGATTACAACGACCAGACGACGCGAGAGGTGATTCAGCAGAGGCTGCCGGACGTGTCGTTACCACCCAAATGTGGAAATCGCGAGGTAAACGTGCACGATCTTAAGTACTATTTGATCGCCAACGACGAGAAGAACTTCCTGAATAGTATGGAGCTTGTCAAGACGGAGGTTCTTCACGGCGTAGCCGAGGAGCTGTTGGAAATGACCGCGCAGCGAGGTTTTCACCGGGCCGCGATTGAAATCCTGGAAAAACTCAAGGGCAGACAGTTTAGCGTAAAGAAAGCCGCGCAGGCGGCCGTTCAGCACAGCGATCACGCTATTCTTCAGGTGCTGCTGAAAGTGGAGCCAAGTGCGGCCAACGACCTGATCCTGAACGCCTGTCTCGAGCTGGGGATGCCGGGGAAACGAGGGGCCGACAGCACGACCGATCGCCTCGAGTGTCTGAAGCTGATCCTGGAACAGGAGAACGTGAATGTCCGTTGCAGCGATAGTAAGTGCACGAATATGGCAAACAATAGAATAAAAGCGACACCTTCGAAACAGCAGATAAGCATAGGAATTATGCTCCGCTCTTCTTTTCTTATCGCAATCGATCCGGTTTTACAGATAAAGGCAACACTCCGCTACATTACGCGGCCGGGGCTAACTGTCGAGAAGCGGTGACTTTGCTTCTCAACCGAGGCAGCTACATCGGTCACATGAACAAGTTCAATGTACCGCCTGTCGCGGACATCTCGGCACACACGCTGTCGCGCTACTTCGACGACTGTCTGCAGACGCGGAAGGACCGGGCGAACGAGTACACAATTGAATTTAACTATCGCTGCTTGATGCCGAACGACGTCCCAGCGGAGCATGACCAGGCTCGCCGAGCGGCGCGCGAAATGGAAGTGTTCAAATACATCGCCGGCAACGGCGGTCTCAAGCACCTGCTGAAACATCCGCTGCTCTCTTCCTTCCTGTATCTCAAGTGGCACAGAATACGGCACGTTTTATACGCGAATTTCGTCTTCTACGTCGCCTTTTATATCGCGTTACACGCTTACATCCTTAGCATGACTTACGACACACAGAGAGAGAACAAGACGCAAGCTGCCAACGGCGACTCTGACAGGCCGTTGGAAAGTACGTTGCGAATTGTCTGGTACCAGAACAGCTCCCTGTGGGCCATCACCACTATCCTGTTGCTGTTGTTCATCCTCCGAGAGACTCTCCAATTCGTCTCCTGCTCCAGGCGTTATCTGACGAGCATGAGGAACTGGCTGGAGGTCGCGCTGATCACGTTCACCATCGCCTTGCTGTGCGGCGCGGGTCTCCAGGTCGCTGCCGTGGTGATCCTGCTGTCCGCCTGGGAGCTGGTGATCCTGATCAGCCAGCATCCGCGCCTGTCCACCGGCATCGAGATGTTCCGGACGGTCTCCTTCAATTTTATGCGCTTTCTGTTTCCCTACCTGTTCCTCATCCTCGCATTCGCCCTGGCCTTCTACACGCTCTTCAAAGACGGCAACGACACGAATTTCCCCGATCCCGGCCTCTCGCTCTTCAAAACTGTCATTATGCTCACCGGCGAGTTCGATGCCAGTGACATCCCGTTCATCTCGCATCCCGTTTGGAGCCACATCGTGTTCATGCTGTTCGTCTTCTTCATCGCTATCGTGTTGTTCAATTTACTCAATGGTCTGGCGGTCAGCGACACCGCTGAGATTCTCTCTAAGGCCGAGTTGGTCGGACTTATCTCTCGAATACGTTTGATCACCTACATCGAGGATGTGGCGGTGGGCGAGCCTTTCCGGCATTGCTCTTGCTGCAATTCGCGATTGTCGCGGTGGAACCCTTTCGGCTTTCTCGCTAAGAGAATTCTTTTGTTCCCTCATCTCCTGAGGGACGGTAAGATTAGTGTCAAGCCGTGCGACAGCTTGGACGCTTACGATAACGATAGATATTACGAGAGGTACGTTCGCAGCGAATCTATAAAGCGCGACAAACAGTGGATCACCTGGAGAATGGATCCTGACATAATTAAACAAGCTAAACGTATTATCTACAATAAGAATCAATTGACAGACAATGAAAGGTTTTCGATTATGTTAAAGAAATTGTGGGAGGAAATAGCGGAGATAAAGACACTTTTGAAAAAATAAACTCTGCACTGGAGAATAATATAATATGAATAATATATGGTAGAACCTGTAAGATAGAATTACTAATGAGTATTCCAATTTATTCTGAATTATTCTGAACTGTCTGGAACTTTTTAAACTCATGTAATAACGTACTTGTAAGTCTACATATGAAGCTTAATTTTAGAAATCGCATTTAAATAACATTGTTGAATATTTATACTTTAAATTTTATAACCGATAAAACTTAGCAAAACAACCGTGTAAATAGCTACAAAGTTCAACAAACTGTTGAGCGCAACAGTGCAAGCACGTAATATAAAAGAACTAATATTAATATTAAGTAATGTTAAAAGTACATTATTTAAAAAATTATTATTTTGTAATTAAATATTTGACGATAATCATAATATATTGTTATGTTTTAATATATTGTTATGTTTTTAAATCAAAATACGCAAGTTTTTTATTCATATTAAAAAAAATTTTTTAATTCATATTATCCATAATTCATTCTACAGTGCACGTAACTGTATACTGTAGATTTTTAGCGCTGGCAGTGAATTTTGGAACACAAAAACTGCCAATGTAGGCAGACGCGCGGCGTCTTGTAATGCCTCAATTTGTTTATAGCATGGCCAACTTTAAGAAAGGAAAATTAAAAGTTAAAAGTTACCGATAAAATGTAACTAAATTCAGTTAAAAGTTAACAGTCTATACCTAATGTAACTAAGTTAAGTTAAAATTATTTAGCTTTTCAACTTTTCAACTTAACTTTTATCTTTTTAACTAGACACTACCCAACCCTGTTATTAATAAAATGCAATGACCGCATCTATCGCGAATGATTATAATTATATTAATTGGTGATAAGTTTTAGGAATATTGTATATCGATATACCAAGTATATTCCCACCTTCGATAATTTTTCGCTCGATAACTTTATCAACGATGAAGTTCAAATATTACCGAATTGCACTCTCGAACGTTATCAGTACAGTATCAGTCCTGCCATTGGGTTTGCCAGAGCTATCTTAAGTGTAAAAATGTGTATTGGTATATAATCTTATTTTTTGGTTTATAATTATCGGGTACATGCTCTTGTATTTTCTAAACGAGTACACCAAGCGGAAAGATCGTATCTCTTGCGTGCTTAAAATAATATTTTAACCGGGCTTACTCAATATCTAAATTATTCGTTTTGACGTGCGTCTTACCAGTCAAACTGTTCCCTTATTTGAATTCGCTTTGTCTGGATTGTAAGTGAAGTGCTACGAGAGTGAAAGAATACACATTTTACTATAATAGTTGTGCTTATTATTTTGAAAATAATATGTACCTATATCAATTATCTATTACATATTTTAGGGTGCGCAAGTTCCAAAATTACTTTAGAAAAATGACGGAAACACAGTGGAGGACTTTGGGATACATGGTAAGACAAATACAGAATAATAAATTAAAGGGGTGAAGGAGGGAAGTGATACGCGGATGTAGAAATTAAAAAAAATGTTAATTATAGAGGAATAATAGATTAATATAAATATAGAGAAATTATAGAGAAGTAAGAGAGAAATAATAAATTAACGAGAACATTGGGAGCAAATAAGGAGTTAAAATGAGAAGCAAGGGATTGTCAAAATAAAAATTGAAATACTGAATAGAAATAAATTGGAAAGACGTGGAGAGAGAGAGAGAGAGTAAATTGAAATCAAGTAACCAGATAGAGAAGTATACTTAAAGTCACCTGATGAATAAAATTGAAAGAGAACTTCTTGTTGATCCAACTGGAAATAGAATTAATTAAACGTCACAATTGGTACGACATTTCGACCCAAGTATCAGGTCCTTATCAAGTAACCGAACTGCAAACCAACATGTCACAATTTTTTGAAGGTGGTAAGAATGGGGAGTCAGTGAGAAAGTTAGATATGAATTCATATGAACGGAAACGGAAATCGCGATAGGAATGTGTGCGGTTACAAAAACAGCGATAGAGCGGACAATCAAGCGTGAATGCGCTGTGAAAAAAGCACGAGTAACAATTATAGTAGTGTCAATTGTATGCATAAGATGCATAGTGCTGCGTGTTCCAATGTGAGGTGGAAACTTTGTAGTAATAAATTGAGAGTAAGCTAATTGTAAAGAGAACATTTTTTTACTCTTAAGAAAATGAATAGCTACATATATTAATATCCCTTCTTAAAATCATTGATTAAGTATTGATATTCTAATTAATGTTTTATTTTTAGATATCACAATGAATCATGACGAGATTGAGCTGCAGAAGTTAGTAATCAATCACGACTCTTCTCCGAACATCATGGAAAATCTTCACAAGCTTCTGCTAGGTGCCATAGAATGCGAGGACTTTGAGTCTTTCGAACAGATCGTGAAGGAAAATTCGAAAGAGCTACCAGCCGCCACAATCGTCAGATATGTCGACCCGAACACGGAAGACACATATCTCGATGTAGCTAGTAGAAAGGGCCTGGTGGAGTTCGTCGACTTCTTATTGCGCAAGGGAGCAGAGGTCAACAGGGTGAACGGGAGGCAAAATGGCGCTCCCATTCATTTCGCTGTTAAGGGCGGACACGTAGATACATTGGCAATTTTGTTGGCGCAATGCACAATAGATCTAGATCTGGAGGTGGGACAGCGGACTGCTCTGCACATCGCGGTGGAGAACAACGATCTGATGTGTGCCGATCTGCTGCTGAAGGAAGGTGCGAGCGCCAATGTTCTCAACAATGAGAACCTAACAGCCCTTCACTTGGCGGCAATGAAGGACCAACGCGGTATGGTGGAGATGATGCTGGCCGAGTGCGCACAGGGCTTGGAATTAGACAGATACAAAGATTGCAATAACCAGACGACACGAGAGGTGGTCGAGCAGAAAATGCCGGAACTGTCGAAGAAGTTACCGTTCAAAAGGGAAAGTAGGGAAGTAAACGCGCAAGATCTCAAGTACCACCTAAACAACAGGGACGAGGCAAACTTCCTGAAGTGTATGGAGAACATCTGGGAAGAGATTCCTCCTGGTACGGCTGAGAATCTGCTAAGGATGTGCACACAACACAATTTTCAACAAGCCGTGATGGCAATTTTGGAAAGATTCGAAGGAAAGCCGGGCTTCAGCGTGAGGGAAGCCGCACTCGCGGCCTTTCAGAGCGGTCATCATGTCATTTTTAAGGAATTGCTGAAGGTGGAACCCGAGATGGGAAACGACCTGATTCTGAGGACCTGCCGGGAATTGAAGATCGAGTCGAGGAAACAAGGAGGCGACAGTACGTCGAACCTGCAGAAGTGCGTGGAGATCCTGGTACAGAATAACGTGAATGTCCGTTGCGCTGACAGTAAGTATATCACGATAGTCATAAATAACACTGACTCTTCCTAACAATATACTTAAGTAGATTATTTTTCGAGTGTAAAAGACTCTCTACAGATTCGCTGATTGTAATTTTTAATTTTTAAGAAAAAGGTAATACGCCATTGCATTACGCGGCCAGAGCGGACAACCGCGAAGCGATAAGTCTGCTTCTCAGACGAGGCAGTTACATTGGGCATATGAACAAGTACAACGTGCCGCCCATTGTAGACATCCCGGTGTGCACGTTGTCGGACTACTTCGACGACTGCTTGAAGATGACGAAGAATCAGACGAACAAGCACATAATCGAGTTCGACTATCGTTGCCTGATGCCGCACGACACTCTCGTGAAACAGGCTGCAACCCACCGGGCGACTCGCGAGACAGAAATATTTCTGTACATCGCACGCAATAAAAATCTCAAGCATCTGCTGAAACATCCGTTGCTCTCGTCCTTTCTCTATCTCAAGTGGCTCAAGATACGGAACGTTTTGTACGCGAATTTTGTCTTCTACGGGACCTTCTACTTTCTGCTGAATGCTTACATCCTGAGCATCACGTACGAAAGTCATTCCAACGAAAACGTGACCCAACTAGTCAACGGTAGCTTCGACGTTGCTTCGGGAAGCACTTTCCTAAGTAGCTGCTATTCGGAGAATTCCTTGCGGATCTTCGTTATCGTAGTGTGGTTGCTCTTCACCGTTCGGGAGATCTGCCAATTCGCTTGCTGTCCTCGCCGTTACGTGATGGATTGGGAGAACTGGCTGCAAGTTGTGCTGATTATATTTAGCCTTATTTTATTGTATCGCGCGGAATTATGGAGTAGCGTCGTGGTAATCATATTGTCCGCCTTGGAGCTGATAACTCTCATCAGCCAGCATCCGAAAATGTCCACCAGCTTTGAAATGTTTCGGACAGTTGCTGTTACTTACGTGTGCTTACTCTTTCCGTTCATGTTCCTCATCATCGCGTTTGCCCTGGCTTTTCACACGCTCTTCAAGAGCAACAAGAATTTCTCCGACCCCGGCCACTCACTCTTCAAAACTATCATCATGATCACCGGCGAATTCAACTCCAACGACATCCCGTTCGTCTCGCATTCCATCTGGAGCCGCATTGTGTTCGTGCTGTTTGTCTTCCTCATCGCCATTGTGTTGTTCAATCTGCTTAACGGTCTAGCGGTCAGCGACACCAATGAAATCCTGTCTAGAGCCGAACTGATCGGACTCATCTCCCGAATACGCCTGATCGTCTATCTCGAAGACATAGCGTTCGGCGAACCGTTCAATTGGTTCGGCTGCGGAAACTCGGGTTTCTTACAATGGAAGCCCTTTGGTACCCTCATCAACAGACTTCTCCTGTTTCCGTATTATTTGCAAAACGGTAAAATCACTGTCATGTACGACAATCTGGACGTTCATCACGACAGATATTACGTTCATGGCAATTCGGTGAATCGCGACGAACATTGGCCTATTCTGGAAATGGATTCCGATATAATCGAACAAGCTAAACGGATTATTTCTGATAAAAATCAACTGTCGGACAACGAAAAGATAATGATCGCTTTGAATAAGCAGCAGGAAAAATTAATTGCGATAGAGAACGCTTTGAAAAATCTTAATGTCATAATTTAATTTTATAATAAATTAATAAATTAATATTAATTTTATAAAATTTAATTTTTATAACATTGGGTCCGTCGCATGTAATTACATATTTAGCGTTCAGAATGTTTAATTCCAATGTGAACGTGACTGTCACTTTTATTTCACATTTAAATGCAATTTCTGTGAAAAAAAGATAATTTAGTTTTCAACGAAATTTATATTGTTTTTATGATTTACTTCCGTTATATGCATCACGCATTTGTGTGTGCAGGAGAATAAGTCATTACAGATAAGATAATATTAAAGACTGACACATTTTACGAATTTTATACATTTTTCTGCTACCTTTTTTATGTATCAATTTCGTCATTAAAAAATTAAAAATTATATTAATTCTCACGACTGATAACAATTTGGAAAAATGCAGTATGACATTATTGCATCCAAAATGTTAAAGCTTATTTACAAAATATATTTGTATATTAACCATTTATACATTTAATATTGCATTGTAAAGTGACATATTGTTCAGATATTTACAATCTACAAATTCACACCGACAACTCATTGTACCTACATTTGTCATTTATATCCACGTCTACACTTGATAATTTACGCAGACCTGGATACTTTTAATACTGTCTGGTCATTGAGAGATAACAAAAAATAATATCTAAATGTAGATAGTAATTGATAATAGCGTACTTAAATTTCTTAAGCATTACATCATTTATTTTTAAGAATTCACGAAAATGCGTGTCACGTGTTTTGCAACTTCTTATCGGATGTGTTCTTGTAATAACTTTAGCGTTTTTCAAGTTCTGTACAAAGTGCTTTCTCTATCTGCCGTACCATTCAGTTATATGTATCTAGAACTTTAATATACTAGGCTTATATCCAGGAATTGAATATAAGAGTTATTTTTAAAACAAAAAATGAATTCGAGTTATCAAGTCTACTGTACCAACTGACCAATTTGAAGTTTAATTTCGCGAAAAATCTTTATTTTTCCGGGTCAATAAACGAGAGTTATTTTTTATTCATATTTTAAAAAATCATAGATGATTTATCATGAATTATATCTAAAAGTATAAATCTATTTTGTTTCTTTCAAAAGTAACTCTCATGGTGTGAATTTTAAAGCAATTGACTAGGAAATAAAAGTTGCAATTTGATTTCAAGGGACGGATGCTTCGCCAGTAATAAATTAACAAAAATGATTCGTTGATTATAGTTCGACCGTAACTAGCACAGATTTATTAAATCGGCTACGTTTCGACCCTTAGTTTGGGTCCTTTTCAAGCCTACAATATATCTCGCAACACTAGATTCATCTGGAATCGTTATACGTGAACACATTAGCTGTCATCGAAAGGAAGAATGTGACGTGGAGCAGATAAACGGATCTTAACTTACGTCTAAGTTACAGGTCGATGAAAAACAATATAGAATAACACCGCGCTGATTATAGCCACGATTTTGATTGGACTGAAATAGAGACCCTTTATAATGAGCAGCAGTTAAGAAAGAGGGAAATCGCCGAGATGTTCTACATTAAAAGGTCGAAGAACACTATCAACCTACAAAAAGACACCGAAAATATGCCATCGATATATGATAGAATAATAAGAGCCTCTTAAATTTCTTCTTTGTTCGCCCTCCTCTTATTTAACAACAATGATTTGCTAACGAAGGTTTGTCTGTCCTTCTATTAATGTCAGTTCGTCACGATACACTGAACGACACGGACGTTACCGATATTAACTATTTGTTCCGCGCAGCGGCAACATGTCGATTTGCTTTATCAATCCACGACTATATTGCAACGATACATTTAAATCTTCGACTATTCTATATTGTTTTTCATCGACCTGCAACATTAAACATAAGTTAAGATCCGTTTATCTGCTCCACGTCACACTCTTCCTTTCGATGACAGCTAATGTGTTCACGTATAACGATTCCAGATGAATCTAGTGTTGCGAGATATATTGTAGGCTTGAAAAGGACCCAAACTAAGGGTCGAAACGTAGCCGATTTAATAAATCTGTGCCAGTTACGGTCGAACTATCAACGAATCATTTTTGCAGTTTGATGAAAATCGAGAAATAATTTAAAAAATGGAAATTAAAGATCAAAGTTGCGACCCTCAAAAAAAAAATTGTCGATATCAATCTCTGCTTATATCTAATCTTTATCATGAATTTTAGACTTAAGATTATCTGACAAAGATTAAAACTTGTTATGTTATATATCACGTGTTACAATATTTTTCTCGAGTTTTTTTCCCAGCGTATCTGCCGGTGTTTCAGCGGGCCATTTGCTAGTCAAACTATTGGCGGCTTATTAAGCAATTTTTTTCTCTAGATTGTAAGTGCTCAAATTTACAACATATCCAAAAACCGTATGTAATAATTGTGATAATTATATTTATTGTTAATAGTGAATAGTGAAGATAATACATTGATTACCTAGCATACTTCCAAATAAGTTGAAATCCCGAAATTGCAGTACGATATTTAATTTAAGCTTTTTATAGAGACGTTCGTAGAAAATGTGATTGAATAAATTAAAATTAAACTGATGACAAAAAGTTGTAAAGGACAAAAATTATGGTTAATGAAGTAGATACTTCTATTGATCTACTAAAATAATATCATACGTAGAGTGACGTCAAAACACGATATGGTGATGTCTCCTATAAGATACTGTCATTTGAAATGAGAAGAAGATAAAAGCTGCAAACTGTCATTCTTATCCTCGAATAGATATAACCCAATATCAACAAGATGGAAATTATAAAAATTTAAATAATTTCTAATATTATTAAATTTTAACGCTTATCTCAATATTTTTATTAATGTTCTATCAACAGCGTTGTATTATATATGTTAAATTCTGTATTAAATTGTCCTCTTTTGTTCATGACGTTTGTAGCTTTGACAGAAGTGAGACACTCTGCAAAATCTTTTCTCGATAACGCAATTCCGTGAGTGTCATATTATACCCCTGCCAGCACTGACACGTGTTAAAAACGTCACTACCCAGTGAGAAATGATTCGTCGATCGACGTCGAAACGACGTCGAATCGACATCGACACCGTCGAATTGACGTCGATTCGACATCATTTCGACGTCGATCGACGAATCATTTCTCACTGGGTATGACGTGCTAACTCGTCACACGTAACGTTGCAGCGACGTCTCAACTGGTGTTTAAAACGTAACTGCCACGTCACTGTCACGTATACGTAACTAACGGCCAAATTCTTGGTGATAGAAACGTTGTAGTGACGTGTATTTTGCGACTTTATGTAACGAGTTGAGCACCTATTTGCGACCTGAAAATAATCAATCGGTTTTTTGAGAAATTAAAATTAGTTTGTACTGTGTTATGTATGTAAACTATATATATCTTTATATATTGGAGAGACAAAATGAGTGATTATATTATTTATGTGTGACAGAAATTTAAACAGACAAATTATATATTTTATTTTAAATAAAATACATAACATCTGTTAAAATTTCTGTCACAATAAGTATAATCATAATGTATTTTGCCTATCAATATTGTTTATTACATATATAACACAGTAAAAACTAATCTCAGCTTCTCAAAATCGGACGATTATGTTTTTTAATATAGATAGAACACTGAGAAAAGAGGTAATAAATTAGAAAGATGTAAAAATATATATATTTTTTATGTTACATTTAGCTTTTTATTTTCCCTTTTTATCTCTTTCGCAGTCAATATATTACCGCTTTTTAACATAAGAGTTGTAAATTTATTGACCACCTCGTCGCTTTTGTTACGTCTCTGCGACGTGACAATTTAAAGTTTTTAATTTTATAAAAATTTTATAAAAATAAGTTACATGTTATTTCAATTTATTTTTATATAAGGTACTAACCACAAAATTACAAAAAATCCGACAGACAGCTAATTAAATTCTTTTGTACGTTACGTCGCGACAACGTGTACTTAAAAGACGTATCATATTTTTTTGCGACTTTGTGACCAATGTAGAACGTCGCTGTCACGTCTAGTGCTGACAGGGACTGATCATATCATCGATCATGATTGGCTCATGTCTTATCTACGTGTTTTTTAAAGAAATATTTATCATCACGCAAGAGTTTTCATATGAAATTGAGTCTGTTTATTTTAGTATCAATCAATCGCAAAAGTAAAGTTAAAAAATTCCTTTATATCAGATCAAAACTGCGAGAATTATAACATATTGCAAGTAAAAATGATACAACAATCTCGTTTCCGCAAGAAGATGATTTAATTATCGAAACATTTAAACAATCTAATGTTAAGTAGAAACTTAAGTAGAAAATTGCGTTATCTTTTGCGACTCACAATAATTTAGAAAATTTGAAACGCAAACGCTCTCGAGCAATTTATCTCGCGTAGAGTTTTAATAGCTAATAGCATATAATGACGAACAATTAGAACAATCCTATTGATTGACATTATTATGAAATTGCTATAGCTTCAAATAAAATGTCAGGAAAATATTAATTTTTGTTACCCTTTAGTTTTTCGTTTATATTCAATAAGATGCTAAAGAAATTAATGTAAGTAAATGTAGCCAAACATATACGTTGTTTATTTATATAAATTTATTTTATGTATAAATGTAAAATAAGAAATAAAACCTCTTATAGAAGCGAACATTCTTTTTTAATACTTTGTATATGTGTGTCTGCATTTATATCTACATTTAATGTTTTTAAACTTCGCAATTATGAATTTTCTGTATGCTAAGCCTTGTGTCCACGATTCAAAAATTGTGTCCAAGTTCTTGGATCGTGGACACAAGACTTTACACTGGGAGAGTCAAGATTAATGTCAAAAATTTCTTTTTAATCCTTAATGCACACTAATTGCATATACATAGTTTATTGAAAATTGAATCGAATCCTAATTCGCAAATCCAATTTGTCTCGTTTCCGATCATTTTAACTTACCTTAATTAAATTTAAATTTTCATTGATCAATTTAAATTAAGATTTAATGCTTTTCACAGATATAAAATCAACCCTTTCAAACACCGAAAAGCAATTATGCTTATCTGCAACACGAGAATATACTTCCTTTAATGTACTTTCGATGCACAAGACTAATTCTTAACTTACAAATAAACTTCGTACTTCCTCTTGCCTTTTCTCACTCCCATGTTTCTAGAGTCCTTGTTATAAGAACTCTGCCTTAACTTATCGCGATTCAATCAGTAAACATTTATCGAAAAATATGAATCGTCCGATAGCAGCAATACGTATCATTTTATAATCCAATCTCTGCAGTAAAATCATGGATGCCGAGTTGTGTCGTTCCCTACATACCTAGGGCATTTGAACTGGTTTTGTTGTCGTTTAATGAACAAAGTATGTAAAAATTTGACAAATCAAGAATGAGAAAGAAAACATGTCGATGTGAAAATTGCAAAATCGTATGTGATAATATAGAATATAGATAATATAGAAGCATATATTCTCATAGGCATTACCAAATTTGATGTAACAAAGTATTGATGTAACAAGGCATGTTCTCCGCGAGTGACATAAACAGTTTTAAAATATTTAATGGAATTATGCAAATTTTATATAAATATTTTCTCAAAACGTTTTTGTATATTTTTCCATTTTTATAGTTTTTCTATATTATTCCTCTGTAAAATAAAGTAATATATAGTTTAATATTTTATATTTGTAATAATGTCTCCTCCAAATAATCGAGTTAGTATCAATATATCATAGATTTCAATGTTCTGTTTGTAGATACTGACATGGATCTTGAAGAGAATTCAGAGCAGGATCGTTTATTGAGCGTCTATGACTTATCCCCAGCTAACAAGGGAGCTTTTTACAAATTACTGCTGAAATCCATGCTATCCAACGATTTTCGCACTTTCAAAAACGCTCTAGATAACAGACAACAACCAAATGTCTTGCATGTCAACTATGTCTATCCTTATAACGATTCCGAAGAAACGTTACTCGATATAGCTAGTAAATCTGGTTCCACGGAGTTTGTAAAACTTTTACTGCACGAAGGGGCAAACCCGAACAGGATAAACATAATGTACAATCGCGCTCCTATTCACTTTGCTACCGAAGGCGGACACGTGGCCACATTGGCAGTTTTGCTAGCGGAACCAACGATAAATCCAAATCTCGAAGCGGGACGGCAAACTGCCTTGCACATTGCGGTGAGAAAGAATGACCTGACCTGCGCCGGTCTGCTGCTGGAGAAAGGTGCCAGCGCAAGTATTCCGAATAATAAGGGCCTGACGGCCCTCCACTTGGCGGCGATGAAGGGCCAGTGCGACATGGTGGAACTGATACTAGGAAACAGCCAACAGTATCCAGACATCGACACCTACAAAGATTACAACGACCAGACGACGCGAGAAGTGATTCAGCAGATACTGCCGGATGTGTCACTCAAATGTGAAAATCGCGAGGTAAACGTACACGATCTTAAGTACTATTTGACCGCCAACGACGAGAAGAACTTCCTGAATAGTATGAAACTTGTCAAGACAAAGGTGCTTCACAACGAAACCGAAGAACTCCTACAGATGGCTGTGGAGCACAATTTGTACAAAAGTGTGTTTGAACTCTTAGAAAGACTCGAGGAAGAATGGTTCAGTGTAAAGAAAGCCGCAGAAATAGCCGTTTTGAACGGTCACGTCCATATCCTTCAATTATTGCTGCGTGTGCAGCCGGAAGTTGCCAACGACTTGATACTGAGTGCCTGTCAGCAGCTGGGAATGCCGAAAAGACGAAAAGGCAATGATACCGATCGGCTGATGTGTGTAAAATTAATTCTGGAACAGGAAAACGTGGACGTTCATTGCACAGACAGTAAGTACACCTCAACGTATGTCATGAGTAACAGAAGGAATAACATTTTTTTAAACAATATGTAGACACACACAAAGTGTCTTAATTGTATAGATATGACAATATTCTAGATATTCTGAAAATATAATATTCTTGAAATTTTTACAGACTGTTCCCTTTGTTATAAATTTTATCTTACAGGCAAAGGCAACACGCCGTTGCATTACGCAGCCAGAGCGGATAATCGCGAAGCGATGAGTCTGCTTCTCAAACGAGGCAGTTACATTGGTCACATGAACGAATTTAACGTACCGCCCATCGTAAACATTCCGGCCTGCACGCTGTCGCGCCACTTCGACGACTGTTTACGGATGCTGAAGGAATGGACGAACAAATACGTGATTGAGTTCGACTATTGTTGTCTGATGCCGCACGACGTTCTGAAGAAACACGAGGAACGTCGGTTAACTCGCGAGATGGTAGTTTTTCAGTACATAGCTGGCAATAATGATCTTAAACACTTGCTGACGCATCCGATACTCTCATCTTTTCTCTATCTCAAGCGACAAAATATACGACACATTTTGTGCGCGCATTTTGTCCTCTACACGATGTTTTATATCCTGCTAAATTTCTACATCTTGAGTACGAGTTTCAACAATCCTGCAAATGAAACGGAAATATTTAATGACAATGTAACTTTAAAAAATCCTCTGCAGATCGTCTGCCATCAGGACATTTCTCTATGGATCCTCATTATCCTACTATTACTGCTCTTTATATTTTGGGAGATCCTTCAATTCATCTCCTGTCCTAGGAACTATTTGTTGAAGTTGAAGTTGACAAACTTGGATAGCTGGTTGCACAAGGTGCTGATTTTACTGACGGTCGCTCTGATATGCGGGGCGCATCAGGTCGGCACTTTACTGATCCTATTGTCCGTCTACAAACTAATCATACTGATCAGCTATTATACAGATAGGCCCACCAGCATTGAAATGTTCCGAACGGTCTCTGGAAACTATGTGCGTTTATTTTTTCCGCACGTGCTTTTCGTCATTGCGTTCGCCCTGGTTTTCTATACACTCTTCAAAGATAACACGAACTTTTCTGATCCCATGCGTTCGATCTTCAAGACCATCGTTATGCTTACCGGCGAGCTTGACACAAACGAAATCCCGTTTGTTGCGCACCCCTTTTGGAGCCGTTTCGCGTTCATACTGTTCATCTTCTTCATCGTTATCGTGCTACTTAATCTACTCAACGGCTTGGCGGTCAACGACACCACCGAGATCTTGAGTAACGCCGAGCTAATCGGACTAATTTCCACAATACGCACACTCGCCTATCTCGAAGACATGACAGTGAGTATACTGTTTAAAAAATCCTTCCGTTGTGGAAATTCCAGATTTTTACGATACCCTTTCCGCTTCCTCGCCAAGAAGCTTTTCCTATTTCCACATTATTTGACAAGCGGCAAAGTCAACGTCAAGCTGTACGATAGCACAAATGAGAAATACAATCAGCTGGTAGCGAGAGAATACGTTTGTAGAGAGTCTGTGAATCGTGATAAATACTGGCCCAGCTTGAGAATGGATCCTAATATAGTGGAGCAAGCTAAACAGATTATCTTGAGTAAAAATCGATTATCAGATAATGAAAATATAATGATGGAGTTGAAGAAGCTGAGGGACGAAATGATGATCCTGAGATCGAAGGTTGTGGCGCTCGCTACGAATAATACTTCAAAGCACCAAAAGAGAACAAGATGCTTTGCAATCTCCGACATCTCGCTAAATAACCTAACGGTTGACGGCGTTCCCACAGAGGGAAAATACAAAAAAAAAAGCCATGAAATCTGCGACAGTTGATACATGTGTATTTCAAAGGGAGAATTAATAATATATACTTTAAGTATATAAAAACATTCATATGTATACCATTTAAATTAATTCTTTACATATTCTATTATTTAACAGATTTTTATAAAATGACTTTTATCCTTTACAAAAGATTACTGCATAGAACTACACAAAACTTAATTTTCTAAACTAATATCAAGCAATACTGTCAAGTATGTGTTAGAATTTATTGTAAGCGATTTAACTTGGAGAGCTGCGTGTAAATCTATTAGTAAATTCAATACAATCCTAATTGTAGTAAATTTATCTAAATATTACACGATATACAAATATCTGGATGTATCGTTGAACGATATCTATACTCTATAGTATGTGCGAATTAATTATAGTTTTATAATTTGTTTAAATAATTTTGCGTAAACTTTAAGTAAATCTTTAACGATTAATAAGGTCTATTTATAATGTAACTTTTTCAGATCTATTTATAATGAGATTTTTTCTAATTTACACGGACATAAGATAGATTGTAGTTAATTTTGTTCGAATTTATATCATCTCCGTCTTTTATGCGTGCATGTGTACACTGTATACATGTCTCTGCATGTTCGTGCACGCATAAATTAGAAATAATGTATTACTAGCCAGATATATCTTGTTGCGTGACGATCTTCTCTCTCCCACGACGTATTAGTATGTCGGTGTAAAACATGTTGAAGTCAAGTCTAATTCAAACATAAATCATTTAGAAATTAATTATTTACATAATTTCATATCAATCGTGATAAAAACAGGATGAATAATAATTATGTCTATTTAATAGGATTTATCTAATATACAGGGCGTTTCTTGGAATAGCATAATTGATCTTGACTTGCTGTAAAAAATTAGTTTAGATCTCATTAACACACGCAAAACATGTCATTAAAATAATTTTGCCCTGCATCTTCGTTAATTGTTAAAACTTATTCTAGGATAGGAATAATCTTTGCTGAAAAATTATATTCCACAGAATTCTTACCGACATAATACGTTAAGTAACTTCTCATTGTTATTATCACAACCCAAATCACAAATTCGGTCTAGAAGCTGTGTCAATACTTTAATAAATCTCTCGTCCAGTGATACAATTGTTTCCTCAAAACTTCCCGTTCCATCTTTTGCTGTAGAACTGTTCTCCATCTATGGAAAAATACAGTCAATTCATGCATTACAAGTAGATATATGTGTATATTACATAGATAAAATTATAAAAAGCAATTGTAATAGAAATGTGATATATGATAGTCTTATTTAAGTGATAGATAATAATGCTGCGAAAAACTATTATCAATTAATGCCGTTAACTATAAAAACATAATTAATTTTCCTTGAACCTAAATATAAATAATATTAGTACACTTCTTGAAAATAGTTAAAGATACGCTTATAATAACGCTTTAATATATTTTTTAGGTATAGAGATTCTCAATTTATATTACTAGGTACATTTATATAATTTAATAAAATAATAAAATAGAAAATGGTTAAAATAATGTTACTTTGTTCACCAAACATATAGAAATACGTTGCTTGCCAATGTATCTTGAAAACTACATTTAAAAAACTTAATAGAAATTGCAATTTTTACAATACATGCAGATACTTTCTACGAATACATATTGCTAAATATTCTTCAAATTCATGTTCTTTAAAAACTATTAAGAAATTATTATTCCATTAATTGAAGAATAATAAATCTACAATTTTATTTTTTCAAAATTTGTGATAAATAAGAATAACTCTCGCTCGCTCTAGAAATAAAAGGATATAACTTATGATTTTTTTATCGAGACAAACATTGATTTTACCACCAAAAAGTATCGCATTTATAATATAAATATATTATCAGGAAGCTGCAATGCATATTATTTTATATGGAAATATACTGTTTTATATATTTTAGATTTTTATACTTACTTCATCTTCTACATTTTACAGAATGCGTATATTAGCAGACTATTTACGTCTACATAATGAAAATTTAAAACACGACACAACAATATAACATACAGGTACCATCTTATACAGAGATGCATTGAAATCTTTAATTCTTTCTACTCTTCTGTATTAAGATTCTGTATTAACATTCTGTATTAAGAACAGTATACGCAATATATAAAAGTGTGCATGCTAAATATTAAAATTCAAAACATCTCTGTACACGTTAGACGTTAATAGTTCTAAAATGTTAGTTGTACACCATGCAAGTTGAGAATAAGAAATCAATATATATATATATACATATGTACATCAGTCACATGTTCTTAACAATATAATAATAATGAGGGTGCCTCTATCTGCAAAGAAATGCTTCATGATTCTAGGGCTACAGAGATGCATTCGGGCGAGCTTAAAGCTGTGAAAGTATACCTCATATTCATAGACATCCTCCTGACAGGTACCGATCATGGATGTCAATTCAGCATCAATGTAGTAGCGGCTCATACGCTTAACATTAGCAGAATATTAAAACTTAATATATCAGACTCCCACACAACTCACACACAGCTCCGTTACGATTTTCTTTCCCATTACATATCCTTATCATTTATTCATTAAATGTTACATACTTTATTAGATAAAATCTTTTAAATCGCTCAAAAAATAGCTTTAAATCAAATATTGTGACTCAAGGAAAAAATGTAATCCAATTGCATAGGAAACGTATAAATTATTAATAGAAATATATTGCATGAAATTATTATACAAGGGAAAGAACATGAGACCTAAAAGTATTTATTAGTATATTCAAAAATATATTATGTAATAATAAGTAAAGCAACGTAACAAATCCAACTGAAACAATGATCGCAACTTAGAGGAAGAGATCGTTGGAGGAAACTTTGTACATGCATGCGAATTAGATAATTATTAGAAAGAAGTACGTAACGTTAAGGATTTACCTGCATAAAGTTGCAGAATTCTATGCATATGGCGCATATACCGGTGATGCAACCAAGAAGATCAGGATCCGTTAACATACATTCCTTCAGATAACTGTCTTGCAAATCTTGATGCACGCTCAGCACGTCATCAACATTACTAACCTGACATTAATTTATCAAACAGATACATAAAGTAAGTCACGTAAGAAGGGTGTACATTTTATTTGCATTAAAAGTATATATTGCAGACATCTTGTAGATAAAAATAGAATCATCACCTTGCTCATCTTATTTATGAATTTTAACCAATTCGGTTCCACGACTTCTACCATCATATAGTACTCCAAATGCTGTATACAATCAAGCATTCTCTGCCGTAATGAAAACGCCTGTCTGTAAGCCATAGCCACTTCGTGCGTGAAAGTCTTCGCTATTTTATTGCTGATCCATACCCTAAAATCCATCAGATTTTAAAATTTTGTTATGAATGTATGTACAAAGCATACACTCTCTTGAAATAAAGTAATTTACCTGCACAAGAGCCTCTCAACATATTTGCAATAAAACAAATGCCTAAACAACATTTGATAACAAGCAATGGCCTTTCTATTAATGATCAGAGAAACTGGCCATTTAACATCGTAATTGAAGACAAAAGCTTCCAAACCAGTCAAAACTTTACCTGCTTGGAAGCAATATTCTGTAAGGAAGATCAGTTTTCGTTATTGATTTCCTTCGAAGTACAATTGAATAAGTATAACACTTTTAATGGCATATACCTTTCTCATCTCTAGTTTGAATGGAGAGTATTCTAAACATTTGATATTGTAGATCGTATGGAAGTAACTCCGGCTTCAAATCATCTTTATAGGGATCTGAGTCTGCAGTGGACATGCGCAAGGCAACTTCGAGAAGAGATGCCAAGCGATGCAGAACGACATCGTACATACTCTTGTTCAGCTCGGTTTCACAGAGATTCATAAATTGGACCTAAAATTCGACAAATATTATATAAAGGATAATAAAATTTTTGGGAAATGCTAAGGAGTTCTGAATTTTTGCAGAAAAAGAAATAATTCTAAGTGTGGAAGATACTCTTCTTCTAGAAGAAGAAAATAGGAACAGAGTGGAGATAAAAGAAATATCTAGATTATATTTTACAAAGAAACGATGGGGCAAGAGCATGTAAAGAAATGCGAAGCATGTAAAGAAGCGCTACAAAATAGTTTTTAGAAATAGGGCAAAGAAAATTATTGAAAAGAAAAAGAAGTTAGAGCCCATCCTGGAGTACTGATATTAGTTGCAATTATCAAAAATAATTCGAGGCTCGAGTTTACAGCGGCAATGTTTCATTTTTATTTTATTACGATCTCGGTATACAATATTAATTATTTAAAATAACTTTTGTAAATATTTTTGCCCAAAAGTATGAATTAAATAACTATCTAATAACAATTTTAAATAATAGAAAGAACAAAACTGATGTTTAACAACATATGAGAACTGAGCTTACCACAAAATCTCCTTGCGCAAGAAGAAAATAACTCTTCACGCTACGTAGTCTACCCATCAGATCATTTTCCTTCATGAGTACTTCTAATAATTTTCTGGCAGCTTCTGAATATGCCCTATCGATAGCAGCTATGTATTTCTGCCCTTGATACTGATAACTCAATGGCTCTTGTTTTCCCCACTGTACTGTTTTTCCTAAATTTATCGAACAAATAATTTATATAAATAATTTAACAATTTGCAAAGATATGATGAATGCTTATTACATAAAGTAACATTAATAAATATGGATGATATTGTATTATTTTAAAACATACCACACTGTCTAATCACATTAAAGTATTTTCCTGTTCTAAGTATAGTTTGTGCGTGTTCATTCAAAAATACAGGTATCCTTTCCAGTCGCATGGTGTACCTCTTTTCCCAATAATCTGCAGAATAATCTACTGGAAGTTCTTCCCTTTGAATCAATTCGTTATCCTCTACAAAGAACTGACAAACGAATAAGTATAAGTGTACATTTACACAGTACAATACAAGAATTGTCTTGATACTAACTTCCTGATATGGATCGCATATCACTCCTTTGTAAACCCATTTTTCTAAAATTTGCATATATGGCATGCTCGCCGCTTGAATGAGATACAAGCACAGCTCTTTAGACTTTGCCTCGCCGCTAACGTTGTTCAGTGTCTGCTCATGCAGAAGACTCAGTACTTTGCCCCCTCTAGCATTTGCCTAGAATCAAATATTTTACATTAGTTATATCGTAATTCAAATTTTTTAAGTTAATTAGCAAATACAGCTCATATTTCCTACGATTATTTGTACATCTAGAATTAAGTGTAATTCAAGTTATTTAATTACTATTAACTGGTATTTTGCACTAACCTTACATATCGTAGATGTAATCTGAGAGAGTATGGACATCGTAAGCATAGTAGGCTGAATGTAAAACCATAGCTTCTGCAAACTTAGTTTACCGTGAATGTGTTCTGTCTCGAGTTGCACGACGAAGAGCTAAAACACGGCGTACCAAATTAATTTTTAAACATGAGAAATATAAGTACGCTATATGCTCCGAAGTTATACATATATCGCAATTTATTGTACCAAGTAATCTTTCAGCAGGGATCGTATAGCTCCTCTTAGAGCATGATTGACCTGTCCGTCGTCCGGCAAGACTTTTTCCTCGACAAATCTCACCGTCATGGAATAGTAGGCGGCTAATGGTAATATCTGTTGCGCCAATTGTTTAAATGATACACCTAGAAAATCAAACTCAACACGCTCAACTTTGCCCCCGTGACGACTATTTAGATTTCTAATAATCTTTCGACGTTTCCTTACCGACATCCGGCGATATAGTGAAAGTTTTAACAGCGTAAGGGCTGGTCAATGGTTCCGAGACGATGTACGATCCGTCTATTCCTTTCAAGCAATACAAAATGTCCCAAAGAAGTATGGACTCCTGAGATACAATCGGCACGACCTCTAGAAATAAATTTAATTGTTTAAGCCACACACGTCTTATCACATCCAAATCTCGCACTTCGCAACAAGAAACTGTTCACAAACTTTGATAATGCGTCACGGCGGCGTCGCTGTGAAAGTCCCAAGTTATACGTGGACGTTCCACCACCCAATTGTGCTTCACCAAGGCGCCGTCACTTTTCCTACAGACTTGCTGATTTAATTTCTTCCCCCCTTCCACAGCAGCTTTAATTACAGTTTTGCAAATCTGTGGAACATTCGCAACATTACACGCGTCACACGCCAGCGTGCATCATATAAGAGAAATACAGCAATTAATTGCAACACCAGCGTTATATAGAATCAAGGCGAATCTTGTGGAAGATATTACCTTCGGCAAGTCTTCCTGCGTGACGGTCGGATCCTTCAGGGAACTGGCCACTGTCCTCGGCACGGACCTCGACAAGTATCTCTTCAGCTGTTCGTCTTGAGATATCAACTCCAGAGTCTGCACGAACGGACCCAGCAGATCTACTCTGAAAACATACGTCGTTCCTTGCTCGCACGAGAACGTCAACAATATTACTGGCCCTACGTTACGTCCGGCTCACTAACTTTTTCGACTTCAGCTCCTCGTACTTCTGCACAAACAATTCTGGCTGGGACGAGATCTTGGCGAGATGCTGGATGCAGCTGTGCGGGGCAACGGCGTTCAGCGCGTTCGCCGCCGAGCTCTCCTTCTGCAGCTTCTCCAAGTGCCTCTCCGGGGCGGACTCCGAGCTGGGGAAAATAACACTCGCACGTGTTTGTCGCGGGCGATAATACGTTTCTCGCGAAAGTCCGCGGAGATCCGTTCAGATCCGCGTATTTGCAAGTTAAAAGGTGACATAGAATTGGTCGCTTACCCCAACAATTCAATCAACTGCACTATCAAATGGTGCAATTTAAATTCACTCATCGTTCCGGATTGCTCTGAGTGTCAGCCGCAATTTCAGCATCGAACGAGCAATCAGCCCATTCAATAATACTTGCAAATTATGCAAACTTTCGCTCAAATTCGCGTGGGAATAACCATTGTAAATATTCGCGGTGAATAATCCTCTCTACGTTTTTGAAAGCCCGTTGGACAGGTTATGGCAATTTTCGCGTCATCTGGCGGGCACTCGTCGCGGCCCGGCGGCAACGTTCAAATTCCACGTAACAAACGTGAACCACGTAGACCGGTAGACATTGCATTGGACCGCAGTGTCGCGCGACAAAATTTATCTGATTGCATATTTATTATAATAATTTAAACCGTGTGATTACAATTGCTATATAACTACATTTATCTATGTTTAAATGGTTTTACTTTTATCCTGGATCATTTTTGTTTTCGATCGGTACTGCGTATATCTGATACAATCAGAATTCTGAAAGACTTCGAAGAACACTAACTAATAACTTACGTATTTTCAGTAACAAAATGTGGCTTATGTATATTTAATACCATAAGAAATCAATAAACGTTCACAGCAAACTGCGAACACGGGAAAAAATGGAAAAATCTATATATGTCTCAATCGTGTAATATCGAATTATGTCTCGTGAGATCCAATTCAAAAAATCATTAGATCTTCAGATATTTGACACTTTCCTTGAATGTTTGACGACATCTAATGAGATCGAACTAAATCTATAATTAAATGCCCTAAGAGAACATAATTAGATCTCAATAGATAATAACATTGAATATTCAATAAAAGTGTCAGATCTCCAAAGATCTGATGATTTTAGAATTGGATATAATTAAATGTCACGCGATTGAGACATATACAACCCAGTGAGAAATGATTCGTCAATCGACGTCGAAACGACGTCATTTCGACGTCGATCGACGAATCATTTCTCACTGGGAATGAGATATTTCCAATTTTTTCCCTAGGAAGCATATTTTATAAACTACAAGGACGGGAAATGACTCGTCAATCGATGCCGAGTCGACATCGATACCATCAAATTGGTGTCAAATTTAACAGTGGGTGCTTACCAGCAACGTACACAGACGACACTGTGTAACACAGTGAATCGTTTTATCTTTGTTGTAAACAAGTCCAGATGGCACACATAGTTCTACGAATATTACAATTAGAAATCATATATTCATAACAAAGAACTCAAACAACGTGCGTGCTGTATGGAGAAAACGTTTTTAAAATATTCGTCGAGAATGTCTTTGGAATATTCGTTCGGAATAATTTTTGATTATTCATCGAGTTTACGTATTGCACATTGTTTATTGTGCAATACATTTTTCTTGCGCAAAAGACAGTGAAACCTGTGGCCATACCACATATAACCAACACGCTATATTCGATAGACCATTCTATTCACATTCGAAAAAGGTTGAAAGTAGTGCCAGCCGAATATTCTACGAACATAAGACAAATGTATAAGAATGACCTATGGAATACTCCAAATATTCTTGAAGAATATTCTTCAAATGTTCATAGGAGTGTCCTCTGCTATCTGGGAGGATGAAATGATTCTCTGCGTTGCACTGCATCAGTCTGTCTCTTGCTGGAAAGCACTCACTCGGCATCGTTTCGACGAATCATTTCTCACTGGAGGGGAGTCATTTTATAAATTACAAACTGTCTCTTTTGAGAAGCGGGTGTTGCGCGCAAATTATTTCTTCAATCTCCATTCCGGTAACAACTCTTGCGTCTTCCGATAATAACCACGAGCTCTTAGTCTTCTGCACAGGAGTCGAAGCTGCGCGAGGACAGTTCACTGCATCGCCACTAAAAATGACGAATCAGTTCAACCGATTGGTCGATTGCTGCCGCGATAAGTTTGAAATAATATCTAAATTGGACTGTACCTAAAAGTCGTATCGCCATGTTCAACGATCTGCGGAGTGGACGATGTCGAGCAACCGGGATTGTCAACGGAAACGTACTTTTGAATTGTGTTACCTCTGAAAGCGATAAGTAGATTCAATCAAACGATGGATTCTTGCCGCGATACGCTTGAACTAACTTAATTGTAATATATACCTAAAGATTTCACCGTTGGCGTTACGTTTAACGATCTGTGGAGTAGAGGGTGTCGAACAATCGGAATTGCACACAGAAACAACGTACTTAGGCTGACAAAACGTCTGTGCAGCCACGCGCGAAGCTTCGCTCTCGTCCGCCGATTTTTTAAATCGTTTCATCAGATTCTGATCCTCGTCGCTGAACGGACACTTCTTCTTCCTCGACAAGTACGATTTGCTTTGCAAATCCCTTATGCTAAGATTTTCCTTGTCCTGCCTGCTCGCGACAGAATGCCAACATGAATGGAGAAGTGCAGCGATTGTCTACATGCGAATTAATTGTTAATTAACGTTACGTTTTATAATTTTTGTCAATAATCGTTTGCATATTCGCGATGAACTGTTCATCGTCGTCCTCCGTGTCCTCTACAAAGGTGATGGTAGGCTGCTTCTGCGTCAAACTGTTTCTGTGTATAAAACTAGAGCTTATTTCTCCTGTAAAAAAAAAAAGAGTAAAACTCGCGGGATCTCGGCGATACAAACATAATGCAAATTTTATTGGCTGCGAATCAACAATTTACCTGTCATAGTGAGCAAAATATTTTTGTAATCAATAATATTGTTCTCATTACGTTCCTTATTCTTCCTCGTCTTTGCAACAGGTTGAGGTATTTTGTAATTTGAGTGGTTATCACTCGGAGGTTGCGGAATCAAGGGTTTCGGATTTATCTGTCTGTCACCTTTATCCATGATCCGGCAAACTGCTTGTATCTGCGTGAAATTGGAATTTACGTTCTCTTCCCATTGAAAGAAAGAAAAACTTATCTTCTAACAATGGCGAGCCAATCAGAGGCTGGATATGGCTGGATACCGCATGTTCAGACTCTGATTAGAGGGTCTCTATGTACTTCTATCTGCACCGCTCACTTCGCCGCCATTTTTCACGAATTGACCAATCACGGTCAAGTATGAGTAGAATATGCAACTGTGATTGGTCAATTTCTTAAAGCGGGGAGCACACACTTTTGCATAAGCGCATAAGCGTATAAATAACGAATTTGATTGGTCTACAAGCAAATGCATAAGGAAATGAACCAATCAAATTCGTTATGCATATGTTTATGCACTTATGCTGCTTATTAAAGCGGGGAGCACACACTTTTGCACAAGTGCACAAGCATATGCAGAAGGAATTTGATTGGCTCGTTTCCTACTGCATTTGTTTGTGGACCAATCAATTTCTTTATGCACATGCTTATGCTCTTACGCCAAAGTGTATGCTTTCCGCTTAACGCGCTGCTTTTGCAATCCATTGCAAAACAACGTATTGGCTGTGGTATTGGCA